GTGCGTGAGTGAGTGAGTGAGTGAGTGTGTGTGTGTGTGTGCGTGAGTGAGTGAGTGAGTGTGTGAGTGAGTGAGTGTGAGAGTGAGTGAGTGAGTGAGTGTGTGAGTGCGAGCGAGTGTGTGTGTGTGTGTGAGAGTGTGTGTGAGAGAGAGTGTGTGTGTGTGTGAGTGTGAGTGTGAGTGTGTGTGTCTTTGTGAGAGAGAGCGTGTGTGTCTGTGTGAGAGAGAGCGTGTGTGTCTGTGTGAGAGAGAGCGTGTGTGTCTGTGTGAGAGAGAGAGAGCGTGTGTGTCTGTGTGAGAGAGAGCGTGTGTGTGTGAGCGTGTGTGTGTGCGCGAGTGAGTGTGTGTGTGTGTGTGTGTGCGTGCGAGCGTGCGCGTGTGTGTGAGTGCGAGTGTGTGTGTGTGTGTGTGAGCGTGTATGTGTGTGTGAGTGAGTGTGTGAGTGAGTGTGTGTGTGTGTGCGAGCGAGCGAGCGTGCGCGAGTGTGTGAGTGCGAGCGAGTGTGTGTGTGTGTGTGAGAGAGCGTGTGTGTGTGAGCGTGTGTGTGTGCGCGAGGGGGTGTGTGTGTGTGTGTGTGTGAGCGTGTATGTGTGTGTGAGTGAGTGTGTGAGTGAGTGTGTGTGTGTGTGCGAGCGAGCGAGCGTGCGCGAGTGTGTGAGTGCGAGCGAGTGTGTGTGTGTGTGTGAGAGAGCGTGTGTGTGTGAGCGTGTGTGTGTGCGCGAGGGGGTGTGTGTGTGTGTGTGTGTGAGCGTGTATGTGTGTGTGAGTGAGTGTGTGAGTGAGTGTGTGTGTGTGTGCGAGCGAGCGAGCGTGCGCGAGTGTGTGAGTGCGAGCGAGTGTGTGTGTGTGTGTGAGAGAGCGTGTGTGTGTGAGCGTGTGTGTGTGCGCGAGGGGGTGTGTGTGTGTGTGTGTGTGAGCGTGTATGTGTGTGTGAGTGAGTGTGTGAGTGAGTGTGTGTGTGTGTGCGAGCGAGCGAGCGTGCGCGAGTGTGTGAGTGCGAGCGAGTGTGTGTGTGTGTGTGAGAGAGCGTGTGTGTGTGAGCGTGTGTGTGTGCGCGAGGGGGTGTGTGTGTGTGTGTGTGTGAGCGTGTATGTGTGTGTGAGTGAGTGTGTGAGTGAGTGTGTGTGTGTGTGCGAGCGAGCGAGCGTGCGCGAGTGTGTGAGTGCGAGCGAGTGTGTGTGTGTGTGTGAGAGAGCGTGTGTGTGTGAGCGTGTGTGTGTGCGCGAGGGGGTGTGTGTGTGTGTGTGTGTGAGCGTGTATGTGTGTGTGAGTGAGTGTGTGAGTGAGTGTGTGTGTGTGTGCGAGCGAGCGAGCGTGCGCGAGTGTGTGAGTGCGAGCGAGTGTGTGTGTGTGTGTGAGAGAGCGTGTGTGTGTGAGCGTGTGTGTGTGCGCGAGGGGGTGTGTGTGTGTGTGTGTGTGAGCGTGTATGTGTGTGTGAGTGAGTGTGTGAGTGAGTGTGTGTGTGTGTGCGAGCGAGCGAGCGTGCGCGAGTGTGTGAGTGCGAGCGAGTGTGTGTGTGTGTGTGAGAGAGCGTGTGTGTGTGAGCGTGTGTGTGTGCGCGAGGGGGTGTGTGTGTGTGTGTGTGTGAGCGTGTATGTGTGTGTGAGTGAGTGTGTGAGTGAGTGTGTGTGTGTGTGCGAGCGAGCGAGCGTGCGCGAGTGTGTGAGTGCGAGCGAGTGTGTGTGTGTGTGTGAGAGAGCGTGTGTGTGTGAGCGTGTGTGTGTGCGCGAGGGGGTGTGTGTGTGTGTGTGTGTGAGCGTGTATGTGTGTGTGAGTGAGTGTGTGAGTGAGTGTGTGTGTGTGTGCGAGCGAGCGAGCGTGCGCGAGTGTGTGAGTGCGAGCGAGTGTGTGTGTGTGTGTGAGAGAGCGTGTGTGTGTGAGCGTGTGTGTGTGCGCGAGGGGGTGTGTGTGTGTGTGTGTGTGAGCGTGTATGTGTGTGTGAGTGAGTGTGTGAGTGAGTGTGTGTGTGTGTGCGAGCGAGCGAGCGTGCGCGAGTGTGTGAGTGCGAGCGAGTGTGTGTGTGTGTGTGAGAGAGCGTGTGTGTGTGAGCGTGTGTGTGTGCGCGAGGGGGTGTGTGTGTGTGTGTGTGTGAGCGTGTATGTGTGTGTGAGTGAGTGTGTGAGTGAGTGTGTGTGTGTGTGCGAGCGAGCGAGCGTGCGCGAGTGTGTGAGTGCGAGCGAGTGTGTGTGTGTGTGTGAGAGAGCGTGTGTGTGTGAGCGTGTGTGTGTGCGCGAGGGGGTGTGTGTGTGTGTGTGTGTGAGCGTGTATGTGTGTGTGAGTGAGTGTGTGAGTGAGTGTGTGTGTGTGTGCGAGCGAGCGAGCGTGCGCGAGTGTGTGAGTGCGAGCGAGTGTGTGTGTGTGTGTGAGAGAGCGTGTGTGTGTGAGCGTGTGTGTGTGCGCGAGGGGGTGTGTGTGTGTGTGTGTGTGAGCGTGTATGTGTGTGTGAGTGAGTGTGTGAGTGAGTGTGTGTGTGTGTGCGAGCGAGCGAGCGTGCGCGAGTGTGTGAGTGCGAGCGAGTGTGTGTGTGTGTGTGAGAGAGCGTGTGTGTGTGAGCGTGTGTGTGTGCGCGAGGGGGTGTGTGTGTGTGTGTGTGTGAGCGTGTATGTGTGTGTGAGTGAGTGTGTGAGTGAGTGTGTGTGTGTGTGCGAGCGAGCGAGCGTGCGCGAGTGTGTGAGTGCGAGCGAGTGTGTGTGTGTGTGTGAGAGAGCGTGTGTGTGTGAGCGTGTGTGTGTGCGCGAGGGGGTGTGTGTGTGTGTGTGTGTGAGCGTGTATGTGTGTGTGAGTGAGTGTGTGAGTGAGTGTGTGTGTGTGTGCGAGCGAGCGAGCGTGCGCGAGTGTGTGAGTGCGAGCGAGTGTGTGTGTGTGTGTGAGAGAGCGTGTGTGTGTGAGCGTGTGTGTGTGCGCGAGGGGGTGTGTGTGTGTGTGTGTGTGAGCGTGTATGTGTGTGTGAGTGAGTGTGTGAGTGAGTGTGTGTGTGTGTGCGAGCGAGCGAGCGTGCGCGAGTGTGTGAGTGCGAGCGAGTGTGTGTGTGTGTGTGAGAGAGCGTGTGTGTGTGAGCGTGTGTGTGTGCGCGAGGGGGTGTGTGTGTGTGTGTGTGTGAGCGTGTATGTGTGTGTGAGTGAGTGTGTGAGTGAGTGTGTGTGTGTGTGCGAGCGAGCGAGC